CAGGTGGTGTGAAGTCCCCTCGCCATGTTAGCCTGGATTGCCCAATGACGATAGATGCGGATTGGCTTGGCTTGCAAGCTGAAAAAAAGAGCGAGAGGAGCGTGCACAGCGAGAAGAGGAAGAAACGTCTGCGAGATCTGCAGAACTCTTCGGCACTGATCTCATCTTCAAATAACGATCAGTCGCAATCGGTCACAGGCACTGGCAACAATCTGCCATCGATCTTTCCTATTAGGGAGGAAAACAAGCCAGACGATGACCGGGCCTCCACTTCCAGTTCGATCTCCCAATCCTCTATCCTGTCTCGAGATGGCCCCCAACGCTCTGGAGGGACACGGACATCAACGAGCTCGGCAACCGACAGCTCCAAGCATTCGATTGCAGACGACGAGGACTTGAATGAGGAAGAACTGAAGGAGGAAGAAAGACTCAAGCTTCTGGCGTTAACTCAGTCACCTTTTGTCCGAGGTGCTACCGAGGTTTACAGAGAGTCAGTTTACGTTTCACCATTTCTCCGTGCAATCATATTCCAATTACTGATTTCTGTCCTGTTTGATGACACTCCCTCTCAACAGCCGTGAACATCATCAAGTGATGAAGAAAACCTCGGGACTAACCCAACACACTGAACAATGAAAACTCAGCTCCTCTCACAGATCGGTGTCATCTCTAACTCCACCTGCTTTGTATTATTCATAATATCACCACTCAATTCATCCCCTCTCCTTCTTTCACTATTAATAATCAGGTCGATTGCTGCAACCTTGTTTCAAATAACATATAATCCCTATTTCATATCTCTCTTTCATTCTCTTTGTGCGGTTTCTTAACATTCTTGTACTTTTTCTTCTCTCACACTCTCTCCTCTTTTATTATGATCCTCTTTCTGTTATTGCCCTATTTTATTTCTTTTTTTATCCTTGGAACAATGTCTTATTGGATTAACTATGTCATGCTGGCTGTGTAAACACCCATGCATAAACTAAATACACTTATAAATATCTATATACATATTGACATGCATAGTTTTCAAGCAGATTAGACACAATCTACTTATTAATCAATAATCATTCTTCACCTTCCTTCCCAAGTTTTTCTTTTACAGTTCATGATGGCTGGTGGTCACTTTTTTAATTACTTTGGTTGGTATGGTGAAATCTTGGTTGCCCTCTTCTATGTATTCATTCTTGATGCTCTGTTGGCTGTTGTTTCCATTTTTTCCCCTTTGTTTTTTGTTTTTGAAAGAATCCTCATCATCACTCATTATCCTCCTGGTTGTTTGACATCACATCCATCTTGTGATAGTAATCCCACCACCCCTGCCCTGTTTTTTTACCCTTATCTCAAATTTCAGTCTTTTACTTACTTGGTCATGATTTTGATGAATCTTACCAATGTTGTCAAATGAAATCCAGATTGATGTTTGTGTATGTATGTACTGCTATCATCTGTGTGAAGTGCTGGTTACCAGTACAGGTCTGCTGTCAAATCTTGTGAGCATCAAAATTAGCAATCCAATATCAACCTTGCTGGTGGCTGTTAACAGCCCCAACAATGATGTACTGTGATGTACTGTGATCAGTTGAGAAGCTGAGTCTATACCAATCATTGAATTTGGTTTGTGAGCCACTTACTAAAGTCTAACGATCTAGCTTTCATGGATGACTATTCTGTCCAAGCCCTTGTGTGGCTTTGGTTGAATGTTTCCTCTTGGAGGTTTGTATGTAGAGTCTCCTCCCAGATGTTTATAGCCATCTGTTTTGAGCTCCACACCAGGAACCCAGAAACTTCAAGTCACAAGAGGTGTGAAATGATGGTAAATGGGTCTCAGTGTGAGCTTCAAACAGATGGCTATAACATCTGCAAGGAGATGTACTGGAACACCTTTGGCACTCTCATTCTTCCATCCAAATGGAGCAAAAAAAAGATCTTCTTCTCCATGAATTAGTGTGAATGGGTTGCCAATGTCAACTTGACCAGATCTGTAGTTTGCCCTCCGGTGATGACATTAATTACACTTGGACTAACATATAATTTTAATATAGTAGCAATGGTGCAACTGCTACATACACTGTACTACAAAAATCATTGCATGATGCATATCAACATTTTTGTACTGGTAAAAACAATAGCCTAAGCAATCTGCAATTGCTGGTTGAAATCCTAGTGCAGTGGCAGAACATATTCAAAGCACAGACGCAAGCTTCTTTCTCTAGGCACTTCACTCTATAGGTCTAGGATGATGAAGTTTTTTGACCTGGTGGTCACTAGGGAAAGATTCCCTGAGAGAACTCGAGAATGATGAGCAACTGATGAACATCATTTATCAATTCCTATTTTTTTCAGGCTAATACCCTTTGAGGCTCAATTTTTCAGTGGTTGACTTCCAGAAGTTTATCACAGAATTATGCTAGATCATGTTGATGTCTGAGCTCTATATCATCATCATACTCAAGATCGAAATAGTTTATACTTACAATGACATCATTGCGCTTAGGCCCTTAATGTGCTCAAGCGCTTGCAATGACATCATTGTTCATCGCTACTTTACTCCGTCCCCATTTTCCTTATTATCGCCTATCCATTCCCGTTCTTTCTTCCCTTCAGGATCTCATCACTCTTCTCCAGTCTCCTCATCTCTTCTCATCAACAAAAACTTCTCTCTTACTCGTAATCTTTCTGAGTACTCAATCATAACTATCTTCATAAGACAAACATTGACTCTTGTCTTATATCATTTCTTGTTCTCATAAACCTTACAACAATCATCTTTTTCCAACAAACATTTTATCCCGTCTCACTTTGTCACCTGTTCTTCTTGACCTTTGTGTCAAACATTTCCCTTCCTTTCGACAAAATCGCCAATCAATTCTTCACCGAAACCTGTCCTTGTTCCAGTAGGTTCTCATTGGTATTCTTCTCATCGTTGATCTAATATCAACTCACTCTCGTTTGTTAGACTTATCTTTGCTCTTGTGTTATAAGTATACAAGTATACTGTTGTTCTTTTCATTAGTCATTTGCTGCTTTAGGTGATTGTCTATTCTCTTTTCTTTCTTTTCTTACTTTGTATTTCATCTAGCTGGCACTCATGAAATACTATCTTTAGTCTATTCATTCACAGATCATCCAGCCAGAATACACACATTTCAGTCAACTGGCTTTTACTTGGACAGGCAGGCGCATGAGATCTTGCCAGTATTAATATAAGTGCGCATATCACACAGACAATTTTCAACCAGCTCAAAGGTTGTGAAGACATTGATATTATGAGTACCAGGAAAGGGGAGTCATCCCCCCCTCCAAAAAAAACAACCAAGAGAATTCACACCCCTAATTTTTCCAGATATAATACTGTCACTGAGGACAGCAATCTTCAATCATTTCAATTCTTGGATAATTTTATTGAAACATAAAACACAACCTCATCAATGAAACTCTGGGAGCTCCAGCTCAGAACAATTCAGTACACTTTTGACAATATGAAAAAATTCACAACAGAAAAAGATGAAAAAGATACTTAAGAACTACTAGAATGGCACACAGATGAGACAGATCCATTAATGAGAATACTCAAAGAGTTTGTTCCAGGAGAAAAGTTTGGAGAATACTACAGAAATATTAGATACACGCATGGTCCACTTCATGAATATTCAGAGAAAGTCTGATTTTATCCTCTGGGAATACCAAGTTTAAACAATAAAGTGTAATACATATAAGTTATCTCAAATTCATTTCTTCCAACATTTTCTTGATTCCTGTTTGGATCTAGTTCCTCTTATCCCATTACCCTTCTTAAATAACCATGGGCTCTGAATGCTATTCTACTATTCCTGGAGTTCTCCTATCAAACTGCCAGCTGAAACTCCACACAAGGATTAAAGCTGCCTCATAGCTTCTTGCCAGCCATTGCATTATTTTGCATGGAAATTTCTTGAAAGTGACCATCTCAGTGAGATAGACATATCCAATAAGATAAGATCTAAATCAACCAGGCTGGCTTCATGGGCTCCTGCCTCCCCTGGCAATTCTGTAGGAGTTCAATGAGGAGCCCCTCTATCAATCCTAGATGCAAAAAGTGGCAGTCTACAAAAAAATCAGATTGAGGAAAGTGAAATTGTTGCAAAGTGTCTCACAGGATTGCACACTGCCCATAACATCAAGACAAAACACCCCACAATATGCAAAGATTTTTTTACATTGTGCAAATTATTCCATTCACAATCCTGTTCATCCAGATTAATTACACTGTTTTCCTTAATGAATATATTTTCATCTTGTAGACCATCAGATGTCCTCTCACCAAAGGAAACTTTGAAATTTTGGATGAAGGGTTGTAGTACAACCCCCCTAGTTCAGAATTGGCCAACACATGGATACAAATGATGTGGAGCCAAACCAAGGTGGGCTACACAAAAAGGCCCCAACCATGTATGTCACAGACATGTTTGTTTTGAAAAGTGCATCCTTTGGAAGGCAAACATGTTTCATGCCCGCCAAGCCTTACCAAGCCCTATAAAGCCAGAAAGTTGCAATAAGTTTTGCCCCTCCCCTGGGCTTCCACATATTTCTTTTGGTTAGGGATGTAATGTTATGACGTGATGAAGCGTGTGTTCTGAGATTTCCCGTTGAGTAACGAGACCTTGAGGGCTGCTTACAAGATTTCTTTGGTGAGACACGGAGTTACGGACAAACTGATGGAACAAAAGTTGTTTAATTTATTTACAACTAACTGCCACGCGCGCGATAACCCTTAGAGAGAACAGTATGTAAACTACGTGGGATGGACGACCTACACCTACTGTTGCATTTCCGATACACATTCCTGATATATAACGTATTTATTCAGATCTTCAGGATAAAATGGGCACAGAATCTTAAACATTAGCTTACCCAGCGACCTTTCAAGTTTTCCTTCCATAGCGTCACTTTGCCGTCTCCTGCCGTCACCGCCAGTACGTTGCCTCCGATACTCCAGCTTACCCTCCAGACTGGGCCATTAAACTTGCCACCGTTGCCACTGGGATCAAGAGTATGTTGCTTCCACGTTCCTTTCGCCCCATCTTGGGTCCAAACGTTGACAACTCGATCCTGACCTGCGGAAGCCAGATACGTCCGCGCGAGCCCAATACTTGGCGAGTAAGCCACGTCCCTCACCCAGTCTGTATGTCCTCCTTCGAGTGTTTCGGAGAGCTCCCAAATTTGCGTTGAAGGATTGAGTGTCCAGATTTTTACTAGTCCATCGCATCCTCCGGTAGCAAACTTTTGAGGCTCTGGACCAGCTTGTTGAGCGCCGCTTGGGGAGTTTAGTGAGGTTGGAAGGTATGGTGGGGCCCAAGAAACCGCATTACAACCGATTGAATGCGCAACAAACAGAGGAGCATCCCAGGTTCCATCATCTACACAAAAGAGTAAGGTTAGAAGGTGTGACATGCTTATCATGCCGTTTTCGGGCTTTCGTGCGCTTACCTTTGAAGGTAAGAACTGACACCTTCCCATCGGAGCTAGCACAGGCTAAGATCGGACCGTATTCATGAGGAGCCCAAGATATGGAGTTCACTGGACAATAAGAAACGACCGTTACAAGAAGGAAAAAACACGAAGGTAAGCAATGAAACCCGAATCAAAGAGAAAAAAATGGCTTACCCGAGGCAGAGTGTAGGGTGTGTTCCTTGATCTTCTCCCAACCGGCTTGACGCTGACCTGCGGAGCCATTCCCGGTAGACGTTTCTCTCCATACGAAGATCTTGCCATCATAAGAACAAGATGCCAAAATCGAGCCAACTGTGAGAGATCGAGAGCGAAGGAGCAAACCGCTTAACCTTGTAATCAATTTCATTTATCGAGAACTTCATATCTATGAAACAGACGTACACTTGGGATGCGCCCAGCTGACTTGCCAAACGGGACCATCATGACTGTTGGATGACCAAATCAAGATCAGCTATGTGAGTATGGAAGCGATGAAAAATCAACGAGCAAGGACCTACCCTCGGAGTGTGTCGACCAGCTGATACTTTGGTTCGACAGCCGATGGATCGACCACATCAAATACCTTGACAGTCCGATCAGATGAACATGTCGCCAGGCGTTTTCCATAGAAATCCATTTGAGCATCGTGCTGTAGGACACGGAATGAAGGCAGCATGAGAATGGTACAATTCAACCGACAGAAGAAGTAGGCTCACGATCATATCTTCATGATGAGTTTGTACTTGAAGTGGAGCTGGGTTAGATTGAGCTAGTGGTGCACCCTGTGTAGTTTGTGAAACTGAAACGGGTTACCAAAGAGACCGACAAATAAGTACCAAAGGAAATGAACAATTGACTGACCATGTTGATAAGCTGTCCAGAGGATAACTATTTCGATAAGGCCAATTCGAGTGCAGGATTGATTCTTTGAAGTACAATAATTGGTGGTAGTTGGTCAAAGGAGTCGATCGTGTTCGCGTGGCGGTGATTAATCCAGCCGGTCAGCTGAGCCTGAGAGCCCCGGGGAGCGCGGGCAGGGTCTCGCAGCGGGGAGTCGGGGCCCCTTCGGTGCCCGTAGGACGATCGATCATCCCGAAGCATGCAACCTTTTGGGCTGAGCCTGGGCACCGGAATGCTGTGGTCACCGTCTGCCCAGATCGAATAACTAAATAGCCCCAACAAGCAGCAAGAAAAGCTTCGGGATTTAACTCATGCTTCAAAAGGTTCTCTATTTTTTTGGATACTCATGTTCATCTAACCACTTTTGTATTATCTACTACGGCCCGTCGCGTATGTGAATGCGTCAGTTGTAAGCCAGAGTCCACACTTCAGACGTTCATCAGCCACCATAGAACTGGATTTCAAAATATGGCAGGTAGATGAGTGAGTATGCGGATGACTATCAGAGTCGATTTTCGTTTCTCCCTGGAGCTTCAAGCGCTGGCTCACATGACAGTCTGTAAAGGGAAAATAAGTCAGTGTCAATGACTCAATATCCGCTTGACCATGCCAGCTGCACTGGGGATGCAGAATGATCACAGATTGAGAAAACCACCGGAACCACAATCAAATACCCACCATAAACCGACCGAAAGCCGCCTAGCCATTCCTGATGAACAATTCAGAGACGGAGTCTGTCAATTGGCCCCCAACAAACATGAACTATCGCCAACTTTTGCAGGGGACATCATCACCTGAGGACCTGGTCCAGCAGAGCCTTCAATCAAATATGCATAAGCATATTTTTACAGCCATCGGCAAACTTTTCCGTTTGAGTAGCCTCACATAGGCCTTGATCCCCAAGATCAATGATTAAGTTTTGCTTCACTCCGTCTAAGGTGAGGCTTATAGATCCAACTTCGCACCGACCCCCAACGAAATTTGCATGGCCTGGGGTTTCGATGGTTGTCTTCCACCTTCCGTATGCTTTGTAGTGCTTCTTCAAGCATCATAAATTGTTCAAAGCGCTCGCGTTGCATCTCTCCTCTCCCCTCAGAAAACTCGATACCAGTTGCACAAGTTGAATCTTGACTAGAATACCCTCATATATATTGTCAATTTTCACTTCACACATCATGCCTTTTTCCATCGACTTGAGTGAGTAATCGGCAGCCTGGAGTGGTTTGATCTAGTTTTAGATCGAAAGGTGTTGTCGATCAGCTTGCTAATTCTTGACCCTGCGCTGGCACTTTGATCTGTTATCAGAGGACCAATGTATTATAGGTGAGGCTGTTTGCGATCGGGTTTTATTTTGAACGAAGCTCAGGCTCTGAAATGTTGTTTTTTTTCAAAAACTTGGACCTACCTCACAGTTACCGGAGGAAATCGTGGCATTGGTCTCGCACTGTCCCAAGCGTGTGCTGATTCCGGTGCTGCAGTCGGTATTGTCTATAACAGTTTGTCCCCTTGGTCTGATTTCAGCTTACTGCTATCTGGCCTCTTCGGCAGGCATACTCACATTTTATCAACCAACAACCAGGTGCCCAAGATGCCCCAGATCGCGCGGCCGAAATTGCGAAGAGGTACGGTGTGAAGTGCAAGGCTTACCAATGTGATGTAGGAGACCAGGACAAAGTCAAGCAAGTCTTCCGAGAGATTAACTCGGAGCTTGGTCCGGTGACTGGTTGTGCGTTGAGTTTAGATCAGTCTTTCAACCGCCCACCCTGGTGAGCAATCAATGGTATAAAAGCTAATCAATCAGTCAATCGTCATAGTGATCGCCAATGCCGGAGTTTCAGTGGTAAAAGATGCCTTGCAATACAACAAGGAGGACTTTTCCAAGGTGGGGGCATGTCTCGACATGAAGAAGAGTCAAACACGCAACCCGATCCTACTTACTTTTTTACGTTCTCTCTAGATCTTCAATGTGAATGTCTTTGGGGTCTGTAAGTATCTCATCCCTGATAGATCTTTTGAATAAATCGACGGGGCACATACTAAAGTGCCGTCTTCCTCTTCATACCTCAGTTAATAGTGCACAAGCGATTGCTCAGATTTGGATCGAAAGTCAGTCGCCAAGAGAACTACTTCTTCATTTGTCATTATAATACATGCCTTGTGCGAACATATATTGATTCTACTCTTATCAATTCTCAATCGGTTCGAAAATAAAGACGGGTTTAAGAAAGGCAGCATCGTTATCACTTCTTCAATGAGTTCCCAAATTTGCAATCGTCCCTTGACCCAATGCTTCTATAACTCTTCCAGTAAGTTTGTTTACCAATTTTCTCAACCCATCAAGCCATTCCATATTAATGATTCGGATTCTTGATTTTTGACAGAGGCTGCCGTATCCAATCTCGGCAAATGCCTTGCTGCCGAATGGGCTGATAAGTCCATTCGTGTTAACGTGCGGCCTCTTTGATTGACTTGACCAAAGATTATATCGTTTATCTGAAGTCAGATCCTAACCCTACTTGCTTTCTGGGTCTTCAGATGCTCTCTCCTGGTTATGTCAAGACCGATCAAACGTCGCACATGGACCTTAGCTTGAGAGATTTCCAAGCTGATGGTGTACCGCTCAAACGTTTTGCTGAGCCCGAAGAAATGGCGGGGCAAGCGATTCTCTTGCTGAGCGCCAAAGCCTCTTACATGACCGTAAGAAGTACTCCTTTGAAGTGACCTACTTATATGTTGACAGCTGAAATGAATGGTTTTTTTCACGGTATTTTTAGGGAGGAGAGTACTTTGTCGATGGCGGTAACTTGGTTTGGTAGATCAAAAAGGTCAACCAATTTCGAAGATGCCCGGCTGTATCCCAGTTGATAAGCAACTCCGTTGAGTTACTGCTAGGAAAAAGGTTTTCCGACACATATTTTGCACATGTATTTGAAATTTTATTTAGCTTAGCGCAGACACGCATGATGAGTAAGATATAGTGACTTGGTGCGGTCAACTTCTTGAGTGGGTGTGCCTCTTTGGTCATCATAGTGAGCAGAAATCGAGCCGATTGTCCCCCTTAGCTCAGGCAGTTCCAATGCCATTTTCAGAGGAAGCATACATTTAAACTTCCCAGTTGTTTGGCCTCCCACTGATTAACTTGTTAATAAATAACTGGGTACACTGTGATGCTGGGCACGCACCGCGCAATGCTTGAAAAATACCTACATGCAACTTTCAATGCCTTCATACGCGCGTTCCCCTCAATTACCCATGTGCATGTTTTGATGTGTTAATTGGCATTGGAAAAGAAAGTACAAGAATGGTACATACTTATAACACAGAGATTTTGAGCAGGCACAGGGTAAAAGTTTCTAGTAATTCCACCCAACACACATACTGGTGTGGGCATGTTACAGCTGATCATAGCCTCTAACACAGATTTTCCCAAGCTTACCTGACCTGACCTGATCCAATAACATGTTACACTATTAATTTAGTGATTGCAATGTCCATCGCAAAACTTGTTCACTGATGTCCGCAACTAGCAGTAGTTGCTGAACAAAAATGGCTACCAATTGAAAAGAAATCTTCTGTTTCCCCTCCTGGCCCTCTGATACCTCTTCATGATATAAATCCAGATTTTGGAATGCTAGCGTAAGCCTTCTTTGTACTCTGCCAAACTGACCGATGCAAAATCCCCAGCAAGTATTAATTTATATGCTATGGAACTTTCCAACTTGAAATCTGTTGATTAGCATGCTGTTGAGTTTTTCACATTGAGCCCAATGTGACAACAATACATACATCATCATCAGAATCATCTTGAAAATTTATCATCAGAAGTCAATGTGAGCATTTCATACCTTTTGTTTACATAGGTCTCTTTCGAGCGGGTTATATAAGCGCTCAAGTTGCTCAACTTTTCACTCATAAAATATTTCCAAAGGCATGTATGGATTCTGATATTTTCTTTTCTGAAATCCTACGACATCGCGTTCCGGTAATCTTGCGATCTGGATAGCCCCCAAAGGGGGCCTAGGGGTCATATATAGACGGTGCATCAGCTGCGGCTGCGGCGTCGTCAAGCACCGATCCAGCCGTTTTGCTTGTGGTTTCGACTTGGAAGGAAAAAAGGAGAAAAAAACTGTAAAAAATTGAAATTAAAAATCATTTAATCATTAAAGGTCTCCAACCTCGATCGTCTTCGCCGCGTGTCACCGTCCATCCTATCCCTCATCCTCATAAGCTCTTGTTGACCGTTCCTCCCCCCACCTCACACTCCCTGAGTCAGAAGGAAAAAAGACTCAAGACCCCCAAAAACGCTCGAGACACTCACCAACAACCTATAGAATCTTTCATATCCCACCCTGCAATTTGCCTCCCCCTACTTGAAAAACAAAGAGAAACGACTCACCTTCTCTTACCATGTCTACACCTGCTGATGAAGCCAAGGTAACCCCCACATCCCATTCCTATCTTGCTATCTTTTTACCTCGCTTCTTGAATCCTACTCACCCTCCTCTGATGCTGACGTAACCCTTCCTGATCGTTTTCTGTTCAGATCGATATCAACGTTCTCCTGACTAACACCGACAAGGCCGCCCGAGATGCTGCTGTTACTGAGCTGGTCAACATTGTCAAGGTGAGTCTCTCAGTCCACTCTCTTGCTCTCACTCGGTTGTACACCGTACTGATATCACTCGTATACAGTCCGAAGGTCCTCAAGCCTTCGTTCGGCTAGGTCTCGCCGAAGCCATCCTCAAAGGCCTTAGAGATAAGAAAAACGCATCTGCTCGTGAAGGTGCCTGTACTCTGCTATCGGAGCTTTGCACTCAGGGTGTGGGGCACGCGATCGAACCTTTCGTACTCGCCCACGGTGATCATCAGGTGCTCAACGAGCTCCTGGAGGCCTTGGGCGACAAGCTGCCCGCCGTTTCTGACGCCGCTTTGAGTGCCTTGAACAGCCTGGTCAAGATCATGACCCCTTGGGCTCTCCACTTGATTCTGCCAGTCTTGCTAAATCAGATCGCCACTGCTGGTAAATGGCAAGTCAAGACTGGTGCTCTGAAGGTCTTGGACGTTTTGGTCGTCAGTGCCGCCGATCAAATGGCTAAAGCCATGCCCGAAATCGTCCCAGTCCTGGCGGCCGCGATCTGGGACACCAAAGCTGATGTCAAGAAAGCCGCCCGCAGCTCTTTGACTAAATCTTGCGCTGTAAGTCTGCTGATGTTTGTCTGGCCGTTTGAACTCAATAAAAAATATTGCAACATGCTCATGTCCCCGTCCTTGATTATTTAGCTGGTCTCAAACAAAGATATTGAGAAGTTTATTCCAGCACTCATCTCTGCGCTGATTAACCCTGTCGAGGAGGTCCCTAAATGTATTCAACTGCTCGCTGCCACAACTTTCGTCTCTGAGGTTGATGCCCCGACCTTGTCTTTAATGGTACCTCTACTCACCCGTGGATGTAACGAAAGGCCAACTGCAACCAAGCGAAAAGTCGCGGTTATCACCGACAACATGGCCAAACTTGTCGATTCTGAGATCACTGTTCGCCCGTTCATTCCGCAACTCCTCCCTGCTCTGATTAAGATGGCCGAAGTCACCGGTGATCCCGAAGCTCGAGGGGTCGTCAACAAGGCCATCGCCACTGTCCGACAGGTTGGAAATGTCCCCGCCGATTCGGATGGGACCAACATGCCTCCTCTCAAAAAGCACTCTCCCGCAGATGTTGCGAAGGCAGTCGTTGCTGCTATTAAGAAGGCTGGTGGTCCGACTCAACGAGCCGGTACCAACGCGGACTCGCCGCTTGTCGTTTACATTTCCGAAATTGGAGCCGCATTGGTTAACGCCCGAAACTATGAAGTTACCGAATGGGACTCTGCATTAATTCCCTACGTCACCCTCGCTCTCCCCCCTTCAATCGCAACCGAGAAAGCAGCCAGTGTTGTCCGAGAGGTACTAGAACAATCGGCCAAAGAAGAGGGCGATACTGTCGAGGTTTTCGAGGATGAAGAGGAAGGAGAAGATCTTTGTAACTGTACTTTCTCTCTCGCTTACGGTGCCAAGATTTTGCTCAACACGGCTACACTGCGTTTGAAGAGAGGTCATCGATACGGTCTTTGTGGAAGAAATGGTTCCGGAAAATCTACCCTCATGGTAAGCTTTTGCCCAAATGATGCTAATCCTAGATCTATGCTTAACCATTGTTTTTTCATGCACAGCGAGCCATTCATAATGGTCAAGTTGAAGGTTTCCCATCGCCGGACGAAGTACGAACCTTTTATGTCGAGCACGACATTGATGGATCCGAGGCCGAAATTGCTATCATCGATTGGATAGATGCCGATGCTCGTATCCAAGCCACCCGTGAAGAAAAGTCAAAGGCCCTCGCAGAGGTCGGATTTTCGCCGGAACGTCAGGGTCACGCCATCGGCTCCCTATCCGGTGGTTGGAAAATGAAGTTGGCCCTCGCCCGTGCCATTCTTTTCAAAGCAGATATCTTGCTGCTTGATGAGCCCACCAACCACTTGGACGTTCTCAACGTACAATGGCTCATGGACTACTTGAAATCCCTCGAGACTTGTACCTCCATCATCGTATCTCACGACTCCGGTTTCTTGGATAACGTGTGTACCGACATCCTTCATCTAAACAGGTTTAAGATTAAACGTTACCCTGGTAACCTGCAAGCGTTTGTTCAACGTGTTCCCGAAGCCAAAGCCTACTATGAGCTCTCGGCTTTGGAAGAGTACCAATTCAAGTTTCCTGACCCCCCGTACTTGGATGGTGTTAAAACGAAGGAGAAGGCCCTGATGAAAATGAAGAAGGTCGGCTTTCAGTATCCAACTTCGGACACACAGCAGCTCTATGATGTTACTTTGCAAGTATCTCTCAGCTCTCGTGTCGCAGTACTGGGTCCCAATGGTGCAGGAAAATCTACTCTTGTCAAGCTCCTCATTGGTCAACTAGAGCCCAACAAGGGTGGTGACGTCTGGAAGCACCCTAACTTGGTCATCGGATACGTGGCGCAGCATGCATTTCGTGAGTATTGACTTCATCTCTCACCAATGGTGATGGCACTGATCCATTTTTACTTGGCTTAGATCACATTGATAATCACCTTGACGAGACTCCTCTCCAATACCTCCTCAATCGTTACCAGACGGGTGAGGATTTGGAGGAACTGCAATCCGCAAATCGTAAATTAACACCCGAAGAAGAGAAGAAAATGAAGGAGGGTGCAATTGTCGTTGTCGAAGGTCAAAAACGCATCATCGAGGACATCACTAACCGTAAGAAGCTGAAACAGTCATTTGAATACGAGTGTAACTTCAAGGGGTTGTCTTCATCCGAAAACATCTGGCTGTCTCGTGACGAGCTCATCAAAAGGGGTTTCGAAAAGAAGATTTTGGAGGTTGATAGCCGTGAGGCCCAGAAAGCTGGTCTGCTCCGACCGCTAGTTCGAAAGGAGATCGAAAACCACATGAGCATGTTCGGATTGGAAGCCGAATTTGTTACGCACAACGTAAGCTTGTCAGATTTCACTTCATCCGACCAGGTGTGTTTGTTAACATGTTTTTCTAATGCAGACTATGCGAGGTCTTTCTGGTGGTCAAAAAGTCAAAGTTGTCTTGGCCGCTGCAACATGGCGACGACCTCATGTGGTCATTTTGGACGAGCCGACCAATTACTTAGACCGTGAATCGCTTGCTGCCCTGATCGAATCATTGAAGACTTTTGAGGGTGGTGTTTTGGTTATCACTCACAACGTACGTTCTTGTCATGGCACTTGTCACGGTACGCACAAATCAGCTGATTGTTTCCTGTATTGCAGCGGGAATTCTCCGAATCAATTTGTTCCGAAGTCTGGGCCATGAGAGACGGTTATCTAGAGGCTTCCGGTCACAACTGGACTGAGGGTCAAGGATCCGGACCAAGAATTGATAAGGGCAAGGACGAAGAAGAAGAGCACTTTGATGCTTTGGGGAACAAGATCGAAGCTCCGAAGAAAGTCAAAAAATTGACATCTAAGGAGGAGCGCAAGAAGAAGAAAGAGCGCATGGCCCGTCAAAAAGCTGGTTTGGGTTCAGATGAGGAAGGTGTAAGTTTTCCTTCCCCTACGCTTCAACGCAGGTCTAATGCCGCGGGTCCATACTGACAGTTTTTTGTTAATTTCCAGGATTTCTGATCAGCCAGGAATTCCAATGACCATCTAATCACAGATTGTGTTTTAGGAGCCACCTTTTTCATGACAACTATTTCCTTTCAACTTACACTAAAATCGATTCCGCATTTGTTGCTTGTCTTTCATCTCGCTTCTTACAAATCTACAGTACACATGATTGTTCTCACTTAGTCAAGCCATCACATAGAAATATTCTGGATCAAGTCTTGTTATGCTGTGGAAAGTCGGTCCTCTTTGTCCCTTCGATCACTATTGGATTGAGTAGCAATCTTACTATCTTACTTGCAGTGGTGAATACAATGTTGCACACCTTGACTGCGTGCTCAATATTCACATCTGCATCACTGGTGTGTGGGTCCACCTCACCGCTGCTATCATACACGCAGACTTAGATGACGCTGCTCGTGTTGAGATTATACCTTGATACAGTTGACAGAATGGACAAACCTTTGCCATTTAACCAGTGGTCCTGTGCGATACATGGCCGAAGCGGAAGCCGGTGTCCTGAATAGTAACACAAACTCCGCAAGCGCTGCAGTGAGCCTCACAGACTCTTCATTCAGCTTCCTGCTTGCAATGAATGTAGCCTATTCATGAGCAATCAGAACCTTCATCAAACTCTAGCTTAACGACCTGAATGGACCATTTGATTCTGTGTTTCTCTGGACTTGATCAATGGATTGAAAAATGGATGGAGGCCTAAGACAAACCCAGTTTTAACGGTTTCATGAGTTAAGCTCACTACAAAAATAATGTATACTTCCATGAGCCTTTTCTCTGGGGTACTGGGATGCCCATGTAATGCGAGCTGCCATCTTAATCTATATACCGTGAATCTCGCTACTTTCCACTTGCCGACGCTACTGAAGATACCACGCTCGAGTCCTGTGCGGACGCCGGACACTTAAAGGTGTTCACGTTCAAGAATTCCTCCGAGTAACTCTGCCGACCTGTGTGTTATTGTTGCTTTTGGACACTCTGTTAATTTACCCTGAGCGGTTCGAAAGAACCACTAGCACAGATTTTCTGCGGAAAATAAATATTCTCCGCCTCGCAAGGATGTGGCATACCTCGTAACCTCGTGCTCTCACAGCCGATGTCACTTTGATACGCCTTTCCAGGGAGCGCAGGGAGAGTTCCACATACTTGAAGATGTAGAAACAAAAGCTACAACATACTTCGTAATAGAGGTCCATCAGTCAGTCGGCAGCAGTTTGGCCCTTTCAGTCTCTATTGCTTACATACCCCTGTCAGTTAGAAGGATCACCTGCAATTCGCTGTAAACCAAGTTCAAATGACCACCAAACCTGCCGAACTGGTTCTCCTCTCGTTCTATGTGTTATTTCTCATTATCGCCTTGTCATTTGCTTTCTTGGCTTGTTGGCGGATCAATACTTACTCCTTCCCATCATGTTTAGCTCGAAACTATGCGGTCTCTTTTACTGATTTACCAGAGACTGAGTACACAAATTATGGCAACCCGAGCACCAATACATATCTATCATTCATAGCAAGGAGCCGGATCCGATTCCAGAAGAAAACAGCTCAAGAACAGCTCGAGTCAGCCATTGAACGAAGCATGACAATCAACGCCGAAACTTTCAGTGATCGTACTCAATCAACCCTTTCGAGTGATCCGATTTCTTCGGGAAATTCGATGAAATCTCCTGAGATTTCAATTATCTATTCGACGTGGCCTGCTTCTGGTCCCCAAAAGACTACAAGTCAGTCTTATAAGGAAGAAAACGGGCATCGATCAAACAGTTTTGCCATGAGGTGAGCACGCAGCAGATATCTCCTCCATAAGATATGATTCAGATTCATACTACATAAACGCTTGTTGCATACTTTAATTACAGTCATCTTTCAAACGGCACAGACTCATCCTTTCACTCCGGCAAATCGTTCGCGAGCACCGGGATGGATTTTTCGTCATTGCGTCCGAGGGATTGGTCGGAAGCGCACGTCAAGAAGACTTGACGAAGTGCTATGTTACCAAACTTCGGAAATGCGTGAGTGCTGAAACATAAAACTTCAATTCTCGTGATTGATCGAAACCCGCTAACATTTTCAATGCCGTGATGGATGCTCTTCAAAGAGGCTTGTTACTTGCAACCGATTTCGCGAATCCATCTCGTGCCCCGGTCTGTTCTTCGAGTTTATGCGGCTGCGTCCGGAGGGCACGTTGAATTAACCGATAGGCCCACGACTTCAACTACATTCATAATAAATAGAGGCTCAATTTTAGTTCATTTAACATCCCTTCGTGTAGTCGTAATATCTGATTTCTTAATTGTTAATGTAATAGTGATTTCCTATTCTTATTAATATTCCTCATTGTTACTTTTCCTGTTTGCATATATTGCTTTATTCCACCCCAAACAACATGTGATGCATTAGATAAGAGTAAATTCAAGAGAGTCTTACATTCAGTTTTGATCTTACAGCTGAACTCAAATGTAGAGGATAGGTATCCTTATAGCAAATTTCTAAATGTGAGGTTAAAACTGTCATAGAACAACAGCTGCAAAATAACTTATAACAATATCCATTTTTTGGGGGGAGTGCCTCTAAAAACAAACCTGGTGGCTCACATAAGCAAAAAACAAAGTTTTTCTGGGCTAGAAAGTACAGGCACATGTAACCACTTGCTGAATTATTTTTCTTTTGCTTTTGTAAACTACAGATTTTCTAGTGGAGGTGTTTATGATTCTTATTTCTTTACGATAAATTATAAGTACTAGTATACTACTAAATATTACATACTCAGGAGAATTGAATACATACTGGAAGACTGCCCATCAAAATTTGGGGTTCCCCCAGTTTTGATTTCCCTGTGAATATCTTGACTTTTTGCATCTAAATTGAAAACTGGGAGGGCCCCAGATCCAACAAGGAGTTAAACATCCAGAATCACCTTCACACAGTTTTTTTTCTATGATGAGAGTTTGTATCCACATAGAATCTCCATTTGGGTTGCATTGAACAAACAACCATCAGCTTTCAGATTGATTCAAGCAAAGAGAATAAGAAAAAACTTGGTGAGCTGAAATATTGTGGATCTATATTTTGTTTGAAATCTCTCAAGATTTGTTTTGGACATGAAATCATCATAATTTTATGGGGAAGTTTTCCTTTGGTGCCTTTTGTTGTTGTGGAGATCAGACAATGGATGATACAGATGAGCCTGGTTATAACATAATAACACCAATAGTCTTTTAGTTGGACTTGTGAGGCCATGGTTGTTTAACAAAATGGATCAACTTGCGCAAAAATTATGTGATGGAGCAGCAAGTTGATGGTTGCTGCTTGATCAGCTTAGATGACTCAGCTCAATCTAAGGGATGGTCCCAAACCTCAGGATTCTGGGGCTGCCCCAACCCCCGGTCCCAAGCCCCGGGGTTCAGGAATTGGGATGGGCTTGACAAGACCCCAAACCCCGGGGTTCATTGTTTGCAGGGATTTTCCCTGATTTTCCCTTGCTTTGGCATGTATAACAGTTTTTTTTTCATTTTCACATGTGGGATTCATTGACAAAGAAAAAAAGGGTTGCAATGGGCCATCAAAGGCCAAAAAACAAAAACCAATCCCAACACAGCACTTATGTTTGAGATAGGTAGGTAGTGCTGGGCTGTAGTGCCATCATTGATTCAGAAATAAAAATTGCAGCAAGCCCCGGGGCTTTGGGGCAGACCTGGGATTTCTGGGGTTTGTTCCTTGGGATGACCCTCTAGCCCTGACCCAAAACCCGGAACCATCCCTTAGCTCAGCCTCTGATTACTGGCAAATCTCTCAAGATTTCCCAGCAATCAATTTTCCAACTATTTTCAGCTTTTCAAAATTTCAAGTTGGGGAAACTGCCAAAATTATGAATGGCATTTTAAGAGAAATTTTTGACAGCAAGATCAATTGTTGGACCAGCTCAAAATGGCAAGGAATGAGGGAAAGAACTGATGAGGCTTTGATTTCTTATAACTGACCATTTTCAAGTAGAATAATTACAAGATGGTCAACAAGTAGTTATAATAATGAATACTCATATTCAATAAGAAATTATAGTGCCCACACACCAAAAACCCACATTTTTTATTAAAGCCCATCAAAAATAAACTATAAAAGGAAGAAGTCAAGCTTAGAGACATGAGTTTTCAAAAAGGGTTACTACTTAGTGCTTGAGGACCTGGCTTTCAGAAATGTTCAGTCTATCATTTTACCTACCATCTTACCTTCTGGGAAACTGGCTTAGGTTCCAACAAATTTTCACCTCTGATGTGACTGGGATTCTATGGTGCAAACTTGTAGTCCTCTAGTATATCTGAGGGAAAACATTGGTGATTTAAATTCTGATTTTTTGACCAGTGGTTGGAAAGAAAATGGCTCTTGAAGAAGAGTGTGGAATGCTTTTGATGAATGGTTGTACTGGTCATCCAGAGTATTTTCCTGGTTATTTTAGGATAAGTGGAGCAGCCTTTAGGATGGGGGACTTGTGATACAGCACACTACAAGAAATCTTGAGAAACTACTGGCAGTCTAAATCCAAAGACTTTGCTGGACCTTTTTCTTCAACTCAAATCTTACTGAGTGCTTGCTTTGGTCAAACTTTGTTGGAATTCTTCCGCTCTCCCGCTCTTAATTACCCTCTCTTTCTATATTTCTCTCTGCTCTGCTCTTTTCCCTTATCGTTCTCTGCTCTGCTCTCTCTTCCACACTCTTACCCCCCTTCTGCTCTCCGCCCTTGATCTGTATCCTCTCTCTCTATCAATTCCTTTTCCGTTTCACTCTCTTCTTCCCTTCTCTTCCAAACAAGACCTAAACGGCTCCAAATTGACTCTCTCTCCTTGTTCAAAACCACAAATCACTCACCCCATCAAATACAGGTCCTTCATCAAACCATAAGCCAAACCTCTCATTGTTCAACTATAAAAAACCAACACAATGCCTCCAATCAACCTTTCCGCAACAGTATCTGATCAACTACCTACACCCTTGATCAACTAACATCCTCAACTCAACACTGTTTGGCTATTCCTCCTCAAAACTCCATTCCTCCACCATTCCCCTAAACATTGCACTTCAACCCCGTTTCTTTTCTTCTCTTGTTCTCTTTCTTCTCTCTCTTCTCTCACTCCTTGTTCACTCGCACCAACATCAACTATACATCATCTCATCTTTGACTCAGCGCTCACTCATTCTTGTTCCTCCGACTCTCCCTCTTGATCTTTTCACTTGGCTTTTGCCAATTTGGTGAGAAAAAGTCTCTCAACAAACCCTCTTCTTGAAAATGCTTTGATTAACCTTTCTTCTTTCTTTTTCTCATACCTCAGTGTCTACTACTTGTCATTGTTTGAAATTGTCTACTTCAGCCTTTCTATTCTGTCTAACTCAAAAATAAACTATCATTGTGGTAAATTCTCTTTCTCATTACTGTTCTATTTTCTTGTTTCTTTGTAAGGATTGTGTTTCAATCCTTCACTGTCTGTCGGAAAAGGCACTAGAGATGAGCTCAATATCTACAGAGGGGATGTTTCTAGTACCAACATGGATTTATTGCGTGTCTAGACAGGAGAGAAAGATCTCTCATTAGTATATACAAGTGAAGGGAAATTAGAAAAGGAAATCGGAAGAAAGGGTACTCACCTAGACAGGAGAGAAAGATCTCTGCTGTCTAGGTGAAGGGGAAGTGTGGGACTAAATACAAGGCCAAACTGAGCTTATGTAATCTAGTGACATGTTTTTGTAAGTCATGAGGAGCAGGGCTTACATTCTTATTCTTTTATTGAATGTTTCTCTAACGTTTGTTTTTTTATATCTTCAAGTTCTGGTTCTAGTAACAATTATATTTCCTGTTTTTCATCAAACTTTGATGCACAGTCACTGTGCAAATACATTGCTCTGGGATACCTAGTAGTTTCAACAATTTAGATACTGGAGTATCCTGCATGTCAACTGCTGCTTGTTACCTGGGATTTTCTTGCAGTGATGTCTGAGATGTTTTCCAGATTTTTAGGCTTACAACAACACAATAATGGGCCACTAGGCTTCCCCGTGTTTATTACCCCAAGACTGTGAGTGTAGCAGCTTTTTTTCCCAAATTACATATTGTTAGTGGTTTTTTGCTGTGCTACAGACCACTAATGGCAGCTACAGAACCAAAATGTTGCTAAACAGCAAATTATTGCAGCATAGCAGGCACATTTTGGGGTGTTAGTACAGACAGGGAGGAATTACACTGTGCTAGACTAGATTTTAGTGCAATTCCACTTGTGCTATGCTCTTGCTACCATTAGTGTAACTGGCCCATTGTCACTGCCAAATACCACAAAATACTTCAATGAGATCTTGATGGGTTGAGATACAGTATCAAAAATATCTCAAGTTTTGTGAGGGCCCACAAGATACACTTGAGATTTGAATAACCCCTCAATTAATTAATTTTCATTCAACGATTACAAACATGTTTGCCAGTAATGTTTCTTGACCACATGGTGTAGAGAAAGTGAATTAGGCAATTTACATCATAGACAGGGGGTAGGCCATGCCAACCATGACTTGATTAATTCCCTTCCCGTCCTGGTTGGAGTTGCCAACCACTTGTTGAATTGCATTGACCAGAGAGAGGGAAATATGTGTAATGTCTACCCCCAGAATGAGAGCATTGAAGGTTTTGGTGGGTGTTTTTTTAGAATCAATCTCACAAATTTGGTTAATTGTTTTTTCCTCCAGTTTTCACTTTTGGGATCTTGCAAGCTGTCCACCATCTATGTACTAACTTTGCTAATAGTAAACACACATCTCCTTCATTAATAATGATGATTGTAACATTGCCAATTTCAAATAATTTACAGTGAAAAATGTGTGATGCAGGATAGAGATGGCCCAGCAGGTACATGCCAAATTTTCATGGAACCTGCTTCAAATTGCTCGTGATCAAACAAAATCAATATTAAAAACTTTCATATCATCAAGTACCACTTGGACCTGAGGAAGACACTAATTTAACTGTCTAGGAAGGCACCTGTACAAGTACAGATGCCAAATACCTGTGCACAGGTACTATACCTTTTGGCAGGTACCTATGCGCAGGTATTTGACATCTGTACTCTCACCTATGCCAGCCCATGCAGTTGGGTGAGTGTCTTCCTCAATTCCAAGTGGTATTTGATGTGATGAAAGTGTTGCATATTGATTTTGTCTGATCACAAGCACTTTGAAGCAGGTTCCATGAAAACCAGACAGGTACCTGCGGGGTCATCTCTACAGGATGAGACAGGAGAATTTTAGTCACCAAAAAGGCAAGTCAAATGCCAACCAAGGAAATAAAAAAATAGAGAAAAAAAATGGAATGATTCTTCATGATCTTGTGCATATTTTACTTCCCCAAAACATGATCATTGGCTGAAAATTGGTGCTGCTACAC